TAAAAAGTGTGCACTTTAATAACTTATCGGAACAAAGATAAACCCCACGAATGGCAAGCTATTTACATCACTCTGAATTGATTTTTGATCCTTGTCGAACATCCATTTTTACCAGTTCGGATCCATGCAGGCGTTCTATTTAGCATGCTGTTTTCCCAGAGAGCATTATTTCTTTTATAAGATATAATAACTTAATAATAGTCAGTCTTACTTCGGTTGCAGTTTTAACAGTCCACAACGGTTTTTTTTTTTACACCTTATCTCACACTTCCTATTGTATTATGCCGTGTTGCATTGCATGAGTCAGGGCTGTGTAAAGAAAGGAGTGAAAAAACCCTGGGTCCAAGTCCCGCATTTGAAATGACAAGCTGTGACCTTGAGAAATGCTTTAACCTCCAGGAACCAGTTTCTTTCTCTGTAAAATTGGCAAGAAGAAGATTAAATGAGAGCATGTTTATAAAGTGCCTCATAGCACAGTGCCTGGTATGGGGTAGGTACTAATAATAATAATTTCCTTTTTTTTTGTTATTATGAATAGCAATCACTAGTTTCCAAACTTTTATGTGACTTTTTTCCATTATATTTCTGTGTGGCTCACAATTGATTTTTCCTCCTGTGAGCCAATGACCCTATAGGAAAATAATTTCATTGTTCTACCTTGAAGAAAATGTTAATTGTTGAACATACCTTGATTGACTCATAAGGTTTCACATCACGTAGAAAATTCTCAGGCATTCCAAAACTGTGGTCACTGAAAATTCAGAGGTAATCCCTTTCCCCACTGAAACCTCAGAAATAGAAAAACTTAATTTATTTGAGTAAGACACATGTGAACATATAATCATCTCCAGGGAGAAGACTAACCCTTTGAAATGTTCATTTATTCACTCATTTATTCACTCAGTTATTCACGTGAATATTCAGTAAACATCTGCTGAATATAGAGTACGTGCTAGGCACTGGTGGAAACATTGGCTGTTGGAAGAATTTTATGGAGAAGATGCATTTTGGGAGAAAAATCAAAAAGCCAAATTGATAACAACACCTGTTTTATTTTAGTTGACTGCAGCTGTTGTCAAAAAGGAAAAACTTAAATGAATCTACTTAGGGCAGGCTTTTAGAAAGGGAATTGGATGAAAACAGAAGGTGAAACGGTTTTGTTTTATTCTTCTCAGCCAAGAAAAGTCTCTAATGGCAGCAACCCAAACCATTTTAGATTTGGACCAGATGACTCCTAACCTGACCCATTTCCCTCCCCCCACCCTTGAAGTTCAAGGGGTTGGTAACCCCTCTGAATTATGTACAAGATTATGTGAGTATGTACATTTTCTGGGCTTCATAGGTGGCATCAAATTTTCAAATTGGTAGACTTCCTATAAAAGGGGAGGGTATCCTTTTATAAAGTGGTGAACCACTGACGTCCATTCCAACAGACCCTCTCATCACATATTAACCAAGGGAGTGACTCAGCCACTACCCACACAGTGCTTTAGAAACCAGCTTTATGAGTACTGTAAAGTTTTTTGGGTTATGAATTAGTTTACGAATTAGTTATTAGCAATTAATCAAATCTTTGCTTTTATGATTAATGACATTAGGTATTAATAATAACCAATAGTACTAGTAATGACTAATTGTATAATTGATTAGTAACAGAAAAATCTGTAAAGTGCCTTTCAAATGCTGTTTGGATAGCAATGATATTTCACAAATAACAGTGACCATATATTAAACCATGAGGATTTATCATTTGGCCAGAAGCCTCATCCCCGGGTAGAGACCCCACTAGGGTACGTGTGGCTCCCTGTGTACGCCCACATTGGCCCTTGGGTAATTACCTAGGAGGGAGTCAGGAATTTTTTTTTTTTTAGATTTTATTTTTTTATTTATTTGACAGAGCGAGAGAGGAAACACAAGCAGGGGGAGTGGAAGAGGGAGAAGTAGGCTTCCTGCTGAGCAGGGAGCCCGATGCAGGGCTTGATCCCAAGACCCCGGAATCATGACCTGAGCCGAAGGCAGACGCTTAACTACTGAGCCACCCAGATGCCCCAAGGTAGTCAGGAATTCTTGATTGAATGAATGACTGAGCCTTACTGTGGTTCCTTCCCTTGTCCCTCCTGGGTGAGAACCTCTAGGATCGAGCCTGGAGCAAAACGTCCAAGAGGTTTCTCCCTGAACTCGGAGCCCAGAGAATAGAATTCAGGTGTTTTCAGGTGTCAGCTGTGCACTTGGCCCTGGCCCCTGTGAGTGCATCTGTTTCCCTGTGCACCAGCTCTGCCTCCCCTATGGTGGCAGCTGAGGGCCGTCTGAGGGCATGGTGATGAGACGTGATGCCTTGGGGGCCACTGGTCCCTACTGCCTGGGCCTGACACATGCCGTCCAGGCCTTGCTGTTGCCACCTCTCCCGCCTAGCTTTGTGTGACTCAAACAGAAACAAAACATAAACTAAATCAATTATCATAAGGTCACAGGTCTAGCCCATGAAAGACTAGACAAGACTTAAAAGAAATTAGACTGCAGCCGAATGTAATTAAAATGGGTTTTGATAGGAATTGAGTATAATAATCTTGTGTGATGATTCCTTTAGAATGGCATCTGGTACATCGTCTAGGACACAGGGTTTAAAGACAAAGCCGTAAATGCCTTGTAGTTAATGGCCCTGCTTTAGATCTCTTTCTTTTGTATTGCATGTGCCTATCACAGTGCTGGGCATCATACAGACCAGGGCAAAAGGAAGCTTAAGACTAGGTTCATAGCTGGAGCTGAGTCCTTCTGGGTAGATGGGATGGCATCTTAGTCTGGTTAGGCTGCTATATAACAAAATGCCATAGACTGGGTGGATGGCTTAAATAAAAGACATTTAGGGGCACCTGGGTGGCTCAGTTGGTTAAGGGTTCGACTTTTGATTTCGGCTCAGGTCATGAGTTATCTCAGAGTTGTGAGATCGAGCCCCGTGTTGGGCTCCTCGCTGGGCATGGAGCCTGCTTAAGATTTTCCCTCTTTGGGGCACCTGGGTGGCTCAGTCCACTAAGCGTCTGCCTTCGGCTCAGGTCATGGTCCCAGGGTCCTGAGATCGAGCCCCGCATCGGGCTCCCTGCTCCGCGGGAGGCCTGCTTCTCCCTCTCCCACTCCCCCTGCTTGTGTTCCCTCTCTCGCTGTCTCTCTCTGTCAAATAAATAAATAAAATCTTTAAAAAAAAAAAAAAAAAGATTTTCCCTCTTTCTCTGCCCCTCCCCCTCCACTCACACCTGCTCTCACACTCTCTCTTAAAAACAAAAACAAAAACAGATGTTTATTTTTTGTAGTTCTGGAGGCTGAAAATCCAAGATCAAGGTGCTGGCCAATTCAGTTCCTGGTGAGGACTTTCTGCCTTGAAAAGATCTACCTTCCCTGTGTGCTCCTATGTGGAAGAGAGAGCTCTGTCTCTTCCTCTTATCAGGACGTGAAAACCATCATAGGGGCCCCACCTTCATGACCTCATTGAAACCTAGTTACCTCCCCTAGGCCCCATCTCCAAACACCGTCATCCTGGGGATTAGGGCTTCAGCATTGAATTTGGGGGGATACAAACATTCAGTCCACAACAGATGGGGTAAGTTTTTGGTACCAAGGGGCCCATGGTTTTTTAATTCCTTTTTTTAAATAAATCTTTTTTTAAAAAATATTTATTTGAGAGAGAGATAGTGAGAGAGAGCACGAGTGGGAAGGAGAGGGAGAAGCAGACTCCCTGCTGAGCAGGGAGCCCGATGCGGAGCTCGATTCCAGGACCCTGGGATCATGACCTGAGCTGAAGGCAGACGCTTAACTGACTGAGCCACCCAGGCACCCCAGGGTTTTTTAATTCTTGTCATTGCTGTCTGGCATAACCAGGGAATAGAGATGGGCATTCTTGGAGAACTGGGACTATAATCCATATCAAGAATTTCTGGTAGGATTGGTCACTTTGAACACTGAAAGGAGGGCTTAAAGTAGAACAGGAGAGTTCCTTTCTGTGTTTCTCTTGGGAAATGCATCTCCCATGTTCCTGGCCTCACCCTTGTCACCTACTGCAGAGCCATCATCCACAAACATTCCAGATTCTCTCGAATCCAGAGCCCTAGTGTGGGGCAGCCTCAGAACTGAGTCCCAGCCCATGGTGGGGGTCATGGCATGCTCTGCAGATGCCACTGGGCTCCTTTTCTCTGCCAGGAACGTTTAATTTCACATCATTAAACTGATAAATGCCTGTAAGTCTACTAAAATCCCGCTTTCCATCATGTCCTCACTCAAGAATCCATAATGTGGCCAGATTGCCAGAAACCTGAGCTTTTTATCCCAGTGGTCACATCCCTTATCTCTTACTCCTCCTATCTTATCCAACCTTGTTTTCTTATTCCAATGTGCTTTTTATCAAGCAATATTTTAGACATGCGAAAAGTATAGAAAACAACATTATAAATGCTCAGGTACCAACCCCTCAGCTTAAGAAATGAACAGAACGCCATACAGTTGCAGCACCCTCCCTGCCCTTTATAAACCGGACCATGAGGAGCAAGTCTGGGTGCAGCCAAGGCAGCAGGCGGCAAGTAAGCAAGAGCAAGGGTTTGGGGGCTGGGTGGACTCAAGTGGAATTCTGTCTCTGTGCTTCCTTGCTGGGCAAATTTGGGACAATCATATAACCTCTCAGAGCCTTGACTTCCTCATCTGTAAAATGAGGGATAAGTGTATACTGCAGACCTCCCAGAGTTGTGAAGACTGAGTGGAATAATAATGTAAAGGGCTTGGCCCAGCACTGGGCACGCGGGGAGTGCTTGGCATATGGGGGTTCTTACTGCTGGCAGCTCTTGGGCTCTTCTCATCTTGGATTTGAACTACAGGGATAGGCCCCCGGGAGCAGGGAGGCCTTGCTTCAGGTGAGGCCTAGGGACTTGTCAATGCCCAGACCCAGGCAGGAGGGCAGGGAATGGAGCTCCCGTGGTGCGTGCTATGGGCTGACTGATGGGATGCTTGGTGGATTTCAGGTGCTTGTCCTGGCTGTGAAGCAGCTGTTTCCAGAGTTTGAGTTCATGTGGCTGGTGGATGAAGCCAAGAAGAACCTGCCTTTGGAGCTGGATTTCCTCAATGAAGGGAGGAATGCTGAGAAAGTGGCCCAAATGCTCAAACACTTTGACTTCTTAAAGGTAGGAGGGGCAGGGCAGGGCAATGGGAGGCATGGTGGTATGGTGAGAGAGTGCAGGGGAAGACTGGTCCCTGCCCTGAACATCTCCCGCTTGCAGGACATGAGTGGGGATGCCTCCTTCCCGAGTCTTCTTTCTGAGCCTGAATGATTTGTCCCTAGTGTTGCATGTTAAAGCTCTTGAGGGCAACGTTACAAAGATATACCAAGTGTGATTGTTGACCTATCAGCCAAACAGATGTTTATTGAATAATCTGTAATTCTAAGACACCGAGTGCTACCCAAGGGCCACTAGGCTGTGGTCTCTGCCTCTGTGAAGCACGGGATGAGGACTTTGATGATGATGGTAGTTAATGCTACCATGCTCTGGCGCTGTTCTAACACTATACATTTATTACCTTGTTTAATATACAGTCAGTTCTCTTATAATGCAACGTATGTGTTCCTAGAAACCTCCATAGTATGCAGACTCACACAACAGAAACCACAGGGCTTATGGGGAAAATAGGGCTAGGCTTACAACAGTGCCAACAGACACATGACAAAATGCTCATCATCACTCATTTTCGGGGGAATGCAAACCAAAACCACAGTGAGATATCACCTACATTTGTCAGAATGGCTAGAATCAAAAAGACAAGAAGTAACAAGGGTTAGCCAGGATGCGGAGAAAAAGGGACCCTTGTGCCCATTTAGTGGGAATGTACATTGGTGCAGCCGCTGTCAGAAACAGCAAGCAGGTTCCTCAAAAAACTGAAAACAGAACTAACATATGATCCATATAGATGCAGCCTTGTGTTTATTACTGCATTATTTACAATAGCCAAGATGTGGAAGCAACCCAAGAGTCCATCCACAGATGAACGGGCAACGAAGATGTGATATATACACAATGGAATATTACTCAGCTATGAAAAAGAACGAGCTCTTGCCATTTGCGACCACATGGATGGAGAGCGTGTAGTGCTAAGTGAAATAAATTGGACACAGAAAGGCAAATACCATATGATCTCAGTCGTATATGGAATTTAAGAAACAAAAGAGATGAACAAACAAAAAAGACAAACAAAAAAGTGGACTTAAATACAGAGAACAAATTGGTGGTTGCCAGAGGGGAGGTGGATGGAGGGATGGGTGAAATAGATGAATGGGATTAGGAGTCCACTTACTGTGATGAGCACTGAGTAATGTATACAATTGTTGAATCATCCACCTGTCAGTAATGTAACACTGTTCATTATACTTCAGTAGAAAATAAAATAACGAAGAGACAATTCACAAAAGAGAAAATGCAAATTTAAAACAATGTCACCAGTGAGGCACTGGTGGGAATAATAAAAATGAAAAAATAAAAGAAGGTGGGAATCTACTAGAAATAGCATAGTTTTATGCATGTTAAATGGCTAAGAAGTACGTAAGACCACAGAGCACATGGCACTCTATCATGACATCTGCTTGTGAAGGTGGGCATCGACAGTTGCTGCTTGTGGATTATTGTGAGGTGGTGGAAGGCCGGTCATCTGGAATTGGACGGAAAGTTGTAACGCCGGATCTGCATGGGCGGGACTCATGACACCCGTGGTGATGCTGGGGTGTGTGTGTTTTGTGTATGCCCGTGTCGTACAATCTGGCGGGAAGCAGTTTCCTGCATTCACATGGTGCTTCTGGGGGAGGATAGCTCACATCAGCCAATGCAAGATTTGCATTATGATCATACTGCCCTCCTAATATATCAATTGCATTAGAAAAAATTTGTGTTTTCAAGTATTATAGAAGAACTGCCTGTCTGAGGATAGAAGACACTTACTGTGGGAAACAACACCAAATGATACAAAGTAGCAGCTTTGTAAGAGGTCCTGCTGGTAAGTGCTCTCCATTCAGAGGAAGGGAGTCCCGTGGTGGATCAGCGCAGGGCAGCCTCTGCTGAGGAGCCGGCACTGCAATGGGTCTTTGAGGATTGGCCTGATGTTCCCCATGGGCTCCATGTGCTTCTCCCTAGATAGATGCACGCCAACACCACTGTTCTTACAACATATTTGGTCCTTGTCAGGTCTTGGACCCACTTACCCTGCGGGTTCCTCTTCATGGTACAAGGGGTTGGGCCCCTCTGGTACTCTGTACCAGAGAGCTTGACTTTCAACTCTTTGAAGAGATCAGCCCTTCTCTCTTCACAGGAAGCCTGGAGCATGTGGGAAGGGAAGTCACAGAGCCCTTAGGAGCTCCAGGTGCTAGTTCCAGAGCAAACAGGTCGTGCTCTTCTTGGGGAGGGGGTCTCAGTACATTGAATGGGAAGGTCTCTTGCTCTTGACTAAAGTGTTCATGTGGCTTCTGAAGACATCATAAGAAATGGAGGTAGTGTTTATACTTCTGCTATCCGGATTTATTAACAGAGATGGGGAGACTGAGATTGTACCTACCCTAGCCACCTGAGAATCCTAAAGCTCAGATCATGGGGGGAAAAGCCACAACTGTGGATCAGTGTAGTGTCTTCACACGGATGTTGGTGAAAGATGTGGCCGTTGGCCAAGTTTGACCCTTGGAGTGAGCTGAGAGTCAGGTCTGTCTGGATGCCTCCAGTACTCTGTGTGACTGCCTTTTCCTCTGCTGATCATCACAGATCTGGATGTGCAGACCCTCTTGTGCCTGTAAATCCCCATGTGCAGACTGGATCTGGTAACACTGCCCCAGCCTGGAAGTTCAGACCACCAATTCAATAAAAATGTGGCCCTCTCAGACAAGGACTTATACTAACTCATTAGCATGGTGCCATGGGGTCTAAACTATGTTTGCTTCTGCTTGCATCTCCCATGTCTTCCACTGCTTTATCCCACATTTCCTGAGCATTTCCTGAACTTGTTGTGTTAGGAGTTGGGGGGCCTAGCTGAGAAAGAGATGGTTGGCTCCTACCTGAGAAAAAGTCCCATCTAGTGGGGCACAGACACACTATGTTGCTACAGTCCAGGCCTGCGCCATGCACAGAGGTACAGCCTGTGACAGAGACTTGACTATGTTTCTGTGGATGCCCAAGAGCAAGCACTTCATTCTACTCAGGATAAGGAGCTCAGAGGGGGCTTCCAAGAAGTGTTGAGTGTACAAATGGGTAGGCAATATTGACTAAATGTTTCTTCTGCTTCCCTGGACGCTACGCAGGTACCATGACATTGGATCCTTCCAACAGCCATCACCCCATCTTACAGGTGACAGTTTTAGACTAGAGGAGCCAGGGCTGCAGCCCAGATTTTCTGATTTCATCTCTGGTGCTCGCTTGAGGACATTCTGTTGCCTCTTAGCTGGCAGGGTGCTCCTCAGCACCAGAACTATGAACCAAACAGAACCATCTCCTTCACCGTTCCCATGGAAACAGCAAATCATCCTCTGGCTGGGGCCAACTAGCATCTGCCAGACCAAGACATGTAATAATAATAATAACACAAATTTCTGAAATGAGGATGCCAAATGGGTAAATAATTAATGTAACAATTTGACCTGCCGCTTCTAAAACCCACACACTGTTCCTAAGACAATGGTGTGACTAAGGCTCCTGAGTAATTAATTTTGCCTAAACACATAACAAGTGAGAAGCAAATTTTGCAGTGTGAACCCAGTTCAGCTCTTAAAACTGGAGATAGATTGCCTTTGCACACGGGCACCCCATCAAAACATCTGTGCGTAATTAAGCCTCAGCGAAGAGTTTACCTCTCAGTGTTTGAGGCGTCTTCCAGTGGGGTTTAATAACCTCAGCCCTAAGCTCTAAATCTCTGAGCCTTGGACGAGCACCGAATGGAAGTGTGGGGTCAGGGAGGCCGGGAGAGGGTGAGAGGGCAGCCAGGCTGAACGGTCAAGACCAGGGCATTTGTGGGTCTGTTGTGTATTGTGGGGAGGGGCCAGGGCAGGTGGTGAGGTTTGTGACCAGCCTGGGGGAAAGCTCGGACAAGGGAGGAGGGAGAAGCCTTAGCAGCACAGGGTTTGAGACCAGAAGAGATGAGAGTGTGCCTGGACATGTGGAGGCAGGGAGAGGTAAAGCAGTCCTCTCCTGAGCGGGCCCGCTTCAGGGGGTCACTTCTTAGGGCAAGGTAAGGATCCTGGGACTCTCCAGAAATTGTGGGCAGACCTTGAGGGATGTGCATGCTTTTGGAGAAGCACCATAGCTTACTATGAATCTCAAAGATGAAGAACCGCTGGTGTAGAATAATCAGTAGGAGTTAATATTTTTTATGTGCCTGTGCTATATGAGACACTTTTTAAAGTGCTTTGCTTGTATTTACTTCTTAATCCTTTTACAGTCCCACGAGGGAAAGACCATGATTAGCTCCTTGTCAATGGCAGGGAAATTGAGGCCCAGAGAGATTAAACCATTTGCCCAAGGTTACATGGCTTCCGGGAAGGGGCAGAGGCGGGTTCTGGATGGAGGCAGCCTGGCTCCAGAGCCTGCGGGTTTCACCGTGGTGCTCTTCTGCCTTCGTGAGAGTTTATGGGGCAGATCTGAATTGTGCTGAACTGTCTGTAGCATCAACCCTCAGCCCTGGTTGTGTGTCAGAACCACCCGTGAAAGTCTACATGGCTCTCATAGGGCAGCTGGGGTCTGTCCAGCAGGGGCTAAGTGTGTGCTGTGTGTTGAGCACCAGGATTCCACACATGCTAGTAAGAAGTTGGGAATATTACTTCGCTGTATTGTCATTGCCATTTTACAGGTGGGAAGCTGGCACTCCGGTTATAAAACCTACCCAAGGTCACGCAGCTTGGAAGGAGCCAAGCCAGGGCTCCAGCCTGGCAATCTGCCTCGGGGTCTGTGCTCTGCTTCCCTGGGCTCCCCAGGGGATGGGCACGGGCCCAGGCGAACCAGGGCCTGCATCACAGGGGTGTTGACCAAAGCACAGGAACAGAATGGAACCATGGGGTCAGGGCCAGACTATGAGGCTGAGGCCCAGGTTCTTGGGCTGGAATTTTCCATAATCTGTGCCTTCCTTCTTGGGATCAGGATTGGTCCCAGCATGGGGTGGGGGGGCAGGTGGAGCCCATGGGAGTGGGGCCTCTGATTTGTGTCAAGGAGAAAGACTTTGAACTCAAAGTTCTGATGGCCAGGGTGTGAACCTGCCTGTGGGGTCAGTGGGTCCCCCTGGCCACGACCTCCCTGGGTTGAGTTTTGTTTGTGGGGGGGCATGGGAGGGTTCTTCTCATTGCCTCTTTAGAATGATTCTCTTTCATCTTTCTCCACTTTGATGGAAGGAGCAGAAGGCATGGGGATGAAACATGGGTGTTGGGGTGAATTTCAGCTTATGCTCCCAAACCCTCCTGCCCACAGGGTGATTTAGGGGCAAGTCATCGACCTTAGGTCCCACAGTCAAGCCAAGTTTCTCCTAAGTGAGCAGGGAGCAGATTTGCATTTTGTAGTCATTTCTGTGATGTAGTTGTCAAGGGCCAGTTTGCGGTCCTCTCTGAGCTCCCATGACAAACCTCTCTACCTCCCGGGTTTGGTATTCTGTCGTTTCAGATCTAAGCTGCTGCCGCAGGGGCCATTTTGTGGTCTGACAGGACACTTGCATTGGGAGGGAGGCTGGGGAGAAAGATAGAGGAGGGGGCAGCGCAGTGCTTCCACCGCCCTGATTAACAAGCTCAGAGAGTCTCCAGACTTTGGGGTTTCTCTTTCCATCTGTGGCTCTTTCAAGTGGTTTTCCCCGTTGCCCCAGGCAGGCCCAGATGGGGGTCTGACCTCGTGTCGCCAGAGCCCCAGGCGCCCACTGCCAAGCTTAGGTTTCCAAACAAACCGAGAAAAGAACTTAACCTCAAAAATATGTCCCTTTCATTTGGAAGCCACAGCCAACAACAGCAAACTTTCACTCATATTTTTAAAGATAGCTTGTGAAAAGTGCCACACAAGACTGAATTTTAAGCTCACAGTCATAGAGAGTCACAGATTTCTCTACTAGCCCAGATTTTCAAATGGCAAGAACTGCAGGAAAGTGGCAAACCACAATGGCATCTTGACTTCAGTTGGAACCTTTGTTCCAGGGACCCTGGAGTGTTTCACGCATGTGTGCAGCCCCAAGCATCCTCAGAGCTCCTTTTTGAGATGGGGCAGGAATGGTCCTTTTTGATAAGGAAAACTGAGACACTGGAGGTTAAGTGGCTGGATTAAGACATGGCAGTATTTGCAGAATGAGGAAGGAAAATAGGTTTCTTGACTTGAAGGCTGTGGTCTTATTGCTAGATGAGTTTTGGGGGTCAAGATGAGGGAAGTCCTTATTCCCCCAAACCGTTGAATTAACTGCCCTTGTTTCTTTCTTTCTTTTTCTATCTTGTTTTATTTGTAAGTGAAAACAAGCCCATCATGAGTTGTTTGGGAAACGTGGCATGCCGATATCCCAGTCATTCCTCCCTCCTGGCAGTGGGGTGCTCTTGGCTGTCACTCACTCATCGGGCAACCCAGCAGCCCTTGGTGCAGTCCCAATTCTTGTCTCATGCTGGGGAAATCTGTTCTCTTTTTGGCCACTGGGTGTTCTTAGAGTTAGAGGGAGTTGGAGACAATGCATTTGTCTGCAAGTAACCAACAGCACAATTTAGAGTGTCTTAAACAAAAAAAGACTTATTTTCCTCACATGGCAAGAAGGAGTACAGCAGTTGCCTGCTGATATTGTGTTAGTGGTGTGATGGTATCAGGGCCAGCATCTCTGATTTTCTTGGACTTTTCCTCATGGTTGCAAGATAGCTGCTGCAGCTCCAGGTATCACATTCACTTTCAAGGTAGGAAAGAAGGGTAAGAAGAGTTGCACCATTTACAAACATTCCACCCCCCCTTTTTTTTAAGATCCCATTATTTATTTGAGAGGAGGAGGGAGAGAGCGCACACCAGCAGTGGGGAGGGGCAGAGAGGAGAGGGAGAAGTAGGCCCCCACTGCTGAGCAGGGAGCCTGATGTGGGGCTCAATCCCAGGACCCGGAGATCACAACCTGAGCCCAAGTCAGATGCTCAACCGACTGAGCCACCTAGGCACATCCCTTTTTATGAAGAAAAGAAAAACCTTCCCAGAGCCCCCAGCAGGCCTCCATGTATGTTTCCTACGCCAGCACTGTGTCACGAGGCCATAGCTATTGCAAGGCGGGCAGGGAAAGTGTATAGTTTCTCCTGTCTCCCCAGTAGAGGGAAGAGGAGGACCGGGAATAGCTGCTGGGTTAGGATCCAGCATTATCTGCCACAGGAGACTTGTAGGAGACGGGCATGAGAAAACTCAGGACCTCCTGACTGAAAGATTCCTCACCCAGTAAAAATTTGGTCATTTGTTCGTTCGTTCATTCGTAGACCTAGACATGTAATACATCCATTGCACAAGTGTAAAAACTGGGGCAGAAAGTTGAGATTCACGTGAGGAGCCTGCAATGGGCCTGGTGAGAGAGGGAAATAGATTTCAGTGCCAAGTCTGGCTCAGGTATGAGGGGTTCCTCACCTGTTTCCCTAAGTCCCAATTTTTGGCTCTTGATGGTGTCTGGAGGCATTGAGGAGGGTGGGGAAGTCATTCTCTGGTCCCTAAGCAGGAGGGGGGCCCTAAAGGAGGGCCCGGGGGCCTACCTGGTGGAGGAGGCAGTGTGGCCTGCCCCACCCCTGCCCCTGCCTGTCACTGCTCGGTCCCCCTTGGGCTTTGTCTCATGTTCCTGGGAGGAGAATCTGCCCTTGCCTGGCTCACTGTGCCTCTCTGTGGTCCTGGCCTCTAGCTGCAGGCCTGCCAGCCCTTCTGACCTGCCCTTGCCTCTTCCAGGTCCCCCGCATCTACTGGGAGCTGTCCACCAAGCGGGTCCTTCTGATGGAGTTTGTGGACGGCGGCCAGGTCAATGACAGAGACTACATGGAGAGGAACAAGATTGATGTCAACGAGGTGAGCTTGAGCTCACGGCTGCTGTGGAGGGACACGGGCGTGGTCGGGGCTGCCCACTGAGGGCAGGTGTGTCCCTGTGAGATCTCACTGCCTTGGAATGGAAGAATTGTTGTCTGTTGTCTGAAGAATTACAGTATCTCTGAGCACAAAGCATCCTCCCAGGGTATCTGGTACAGCCCTCTGCCCTGTCTCCTAAGGCTGGGCCTGGCTGCACACAGTGGGGTGCAGGCCCATGCTGAGCCCCTTCTTGCAGCTCGTGCCCCAACAAGTGACTACCGTCTGTCCTCCTCTACCATCTGAGCCCCACAGAGCTGAGCGGCCCCAGAGACCAGTGGTGTGAAATCCGTGGGACTTAACTGCTTCTGGCCCTGTGGGGCCTGGGCACAACCTCCTCCCTCCTCCTGCCTTCCCCTCCCTGCTGCTCCCTAGACCTCAAGGGGGTCAGGCCAGCAGGGGACAGCAGGAGCCAACTGTTTCTACTTCACAAAGCTACAAGAAAAGGAAGGCTTCTGTCTCCCGCCTCCCACCCCATTGGTCTCAGGGAAAGAAAGCTGGCCAGTGGGGTTGAGGCCTGTACCCCATTTTCTTCTTCTTGGTTGCCGTAGGGTCCCACAGGTAATGATGGAGTTGTACTTTTTCAACGACACCCATCATTTTTATAGTCCCTCCTCTGAGCTAGGTAGGGGACTTCAGAGGGGGCCAGGCATCATTCCCTTCTTTAAGGGGCTCACCACCTAGTGTTGCTGTTAGATCCACAGCTAAATCCTTACAAGCTCCTCTGGGCAGCGGGAGGGGTGTGAGCGAGACCCCAGGGAGCTACACAGAGGAGGTGCTTGCTTCTGCTGCAGGTCAGCTTCCCCGGTAGGATGAGCAGGGATTTGCTGGGTGTGTGTGTGTGTCAGGGTGGAGGAGTTGGGGGGCAGTGATGGCACCGCAAGGAAGGGGAAGGGAATGGTGAAGTTTGGCAGGATTTCCAGGGGAGTGTGGAAAAATTGGGTGGGGGCAGGTAGTGAAGATGTTGGGCAGGATCTAAAGGTACTGGGGAGTCATGAAGGGTGTTGAGGAGTGCAGTGATGTGATCCACCGCTCTGGGTGAGTGAGAGGAAGCAATGGAGATAGGTGAATGGTCTTTCCTTCCTCCCACCCCAGGCAACATATGAAGATGAGCCTGTGGTCCCAGTGGTGGGATGGCTCGGAGAGGGGCAACTACCGCTTGGCTCAGCAGATGAGCCAGTGGAATGGTAGGAGAGGGTGCACCTTGGGAGCTCAGGCCTCCGAGTGCCTGTGTGGCCTCTGCCGATGCGGACAAAGACCTCCTTCTAAGAAGGTTGTGAGGCCCACACGAGTGCTGAGCACCGTGCCTGGCAGGTGCTTCATGCTCCAGTGTGGTAGCAAGATTTTGTTGTTTTCATTATCTTGGGGCTCTGTCCTTTCCTTCTTCCGCCTTTATCTCCTGGTGTTTTTTGAACGCCCAACTTGCTGTACCAAGTGCTTTTTTCCATAATAAACCTGGGAGGCAGGTCTTAATGTCCTCATTCTTCTGATGAGGAATCAGAGATTCAGAGAGGGAAGGTAACTTGTCCAAGGTCACACAGCTCGTAGAGCTGGGATTGAAACCCAAGCCCCTCTGACTCCACTGTTTTTTAGTTCGTAAAAGGAGAGGTTGCGTCGGAGTGTAGGGCGCTGCTGCTGGGGACATGGCTGGGAAGGGCTCAGCCACCGCTGGCCTTGGCCTCCTGGGAACTCAGGGAATGATGCTCCCAGAACTGTTGGGGGCCTCAGGGTATGTGTGTGCAAGGTGGGGAGGCCGGACAGGCACCAGGCCCTCCCACCCCCTGCTCTGCCATCACTGGAGTTGCCTGGTGGGCTTTTCTGGAAGAGGTCTCCCTCTGGGGGTTGGGAAAGGATAAGAGAAGGACTGTTTTAATTCAGCCCTCCACTTACCGGACGGCAGGGCACTCCGAGGGAGAGCAGTGGATGTCTTTCCCGAGGTCACTGGGCCAGCAGCACAATACTAGCACAACTAGTGGGCCTGGGAGGGTGTTGGGGTCGATCTCCTGCACAGGAGGAAGGGAGAGACCTGCTTGCCCATCTCCTCCACTGGTGGTTGGGGTGGGGTGTGTCCCTAGACATCTAGCCAGGGATCCTCTGCCCACCGGGACCCTTGGGTACAAAATCTTTGGCTCCAGTGAGCAGGGGGAGGGACAGGGAGGGAGATCACCTCCAGCTTTTCCTGAACAGCCTTAACGTGGATCAGGAAAGATGCCACAGGCCTCATACCTTCCCCTCCCCCGCCAGGTTACCAGCATTTACTTACTGCCGCTGCGGTGGGATTTTCATTTCAGCAGCGCCCCCAAATCCATTAATCTCTTTGGATACACTGAGTCCAGGACTGCAATGGTGTTTTATCAGAGGCAGCTTTGATTTTTCAAAGACAAGTGCAAACAAAGATGTGATCTGCTGTAGTTGCCTGCTCTCAAGGCTGAGCGAGGTGCCTGGGAGGAGGGGCAGTGGGGCTGGAGGGAGGGGGCCTGTGGGGGCTGGGCAGGGGGCTGCCCTCTGAGAGCCCAAGAGCCCGGGTTCATCTGCTCCTGCCTCCGGCCCTCTTTAAACGTCCTTGCAGATAAGGCCAGCGTTCTGGGCAGAGCAGACCCTTGGTGGACACCCTGTGAATTAATGGAGAATAAATCAGCCAGCCTCACGCCCTGGGTTAGCCTCTGGGAGGCAGGACTGGGGCAGAGTGTTGGTTTTTTGTTTTCTGTGGACATGCAGGGTCGGGCAGGCCGATATCAGAGTGATTTGGGAAAAACAATAACAGAAATAACAATAATTATAAGCAACTAATCTGTGCCAGACACATGGCACATGTAATCTCTACTCCTTACAGCTGGCCTGCCAAGGGTGAGATGAGAGACCATAACTCCAGGATTGGATGAGAAAGCTAAAGCTCAGAGAGGTTGAACAACTTGCCAACTTCACACAGCTAGTGGGGGCAGAGCCAAGCATTTGAACACAGGTCTGCTGGATGCTCTTACTTCTCCACCTTCTCCACCCCCCTCCCAGGGATTGGACTCTGGCTGCATTGGAACCAGCACCGCCCCCCCCCCCCCGCCGGCTTCCCAGAGCGACGGCCACATCAGTAACTCCTTGAAGAAGCCAGTGCAGTGCTGACTAAGAAGCTCTGCCCGCCACACGGGCCCTCACTGAATGCAGCCTTTCTCCCTTGAACTCATGTCAGGCATGTTTTTTTTTCCATTTCATACAAACACTGTTCCCCTTTTAGAGAGATGAGTAGACAAGCGGTGTGTGAGCCGTAGTACGGAGCACAGCGCCTGGGGTGTGGGTGGCCCTCCAGATTGGTGGTTAGTTGATTATTGTTGTTTTCATGATTATTACCATCATCGGGCCCTGTCCTTTCCTCCTTTACCTCCTTATATGGTTAGTGTTTACCGACTGCCCAGCTGTGTGCCAGACGCTTTCTATACTGTAAGCTTAGGAGGGAGGGCTTAGTGCCTCTATTTGCAGGTGAGGAATTGGAGACCCAGAGAGGGGAGCTCCCAGATCCTGATGGTACACTTCCACCATTTTCATATGCATCTGCTATGTAATCTCCAGCCAGATAAAGACGCGAATCGTTTCTAGCCCTCTGGCAGGCTTCCTCACCCCCCCAGAGTTGCCTTTCTGACTGTCGCCAGAGATCACTTCCGCTCACTACTGAACTTCATATAAGCAGAATCCCACGCACCTGTCATCAGTCACCTGTGGGTCTTTTCTGAAAGCTCTGTTCTCTTCCATTGGTCTATTGGTCCATCCTTGTAATAGCACCACACTGTCTCGATTACATAATTCCTCAGTCCCCCCTGGCCCTGGCTTCTGGGGTTTGTATGACCTGGGAGCCTCTTTGGTATTCTGGGATGTTGTCATTAAATACAGCTGCAGAGACCTCAGGCTGGGCAGTGGGCAGGTGTGGCCTGTGTGCTCTACTGTGCTGTCGCTGACCATCGGTTGGGAGAAGACAGGGGACAGGCCCGACTTTACAGAAACTAATCCGTATGTCTCTTATCAAGCAGCATCAGAGTTGCAGGTCTCACGGAAGACTAGTGGGGCATGAGCGTGTGGGGGTAGGGGTGGGTGGGTGTGGGTGGTGGGGGGTTGGGAATGGGGAAGGGGGACGTACAGGAGACTCCATGCGACTGAAAGTTTCTAACAGACTTCTGAGGTTCTAAAGTCTCCTGAGGACTGTGGGACTCAGCGAGTTGGTCCCTGGAGTGAAGAAGCCCTCCTTAGGACAAGCTGACTGTGAGTGTCCTTGGGGAGGGAAGTATGGGGTAGCCAGAAGTGACAAGGGGCAAATATCTCATCTCAAATCCTGGGCGATAGGGTGTTTAGTGGCATCTTGGCTGCCACAGGTGGGTGACTCAGCTTGAAGTTGGGGCTCAGGAAGTGGCTGTAAAAGGAGTCGCTTTCCAGGTGGGTGAGGATGGTTCCAGACCCCTCCAACCACTTGTTGAGTCGGCCCCAGTCCACTTTGAAGAGGCTCCCCACCCTGCAGCATTCCAGCCTCGCAGGGCCTAGCATGTGAGAGCCTGAAGACCAGTCTAAGTAGCCAGTACCCAAAGACTCAGGGAGAGAAATGCCTGCGTTTCAGCCCCCGTTCTGCCAGTGGCTCGCTGTGTGACCTTGCACAAATCACTCCCCCTCTCTGGGCCTCAGTTTTCTTATTGAAGGCATTGGATTAGCTGGACTCTAGGGGTACGTCCTGCTTGGATATTTTACACAACAGTGATTCTTGGCTTGCTGGGAGCTAAGACTTCAACCATCTATTTCAGAATCTCCAAAGGGAGCTTATTTAATAATGCAGATTCCTGCTGCACCCCAGACTGACTCATCAGAATCTGGAGTGGAAAGGGTTGTAAGAATCTGCGTTTTAACAGGCTCTTCAGGTGGTTCAGACACTGACTGGAGTCCAGGAACCACCGCCACAAGGCCAGCCTCCAAGC